AATTTAGATTTGGTGGATGGTGGTATAAAGCATGTGGCCCTTCCAACTTAAATGGGCAACACTCAAATAGCGAGGTATATAATGAGGCTGGCTTGATCTGGCATGAGTGGAATGGTCGATACACCTTAAAATCGGCCTCGATAAAATTATATAACACATAGCATAGTCTTTATGAAAATACTCCTGTTCTTTACTTACCTGTGGCCATTTTCACTGTTTTCTTTATTTTATCGGTAAAATTAATTCTAAAAACTTATCTTATAATTCTATATGAGCAAAACAGAACAAGGTTCATTGTCAGTAAGACATGGTATAAACATTCATGGCGTTTGCATCATACCCTTCATTTCCGTTATTTACCATGTAAATGATTCTATTTTCCCACGCAAAACCTATAAACATGCCAGGACGTGGACAGAATAAAAAGTGCTGTCGAAGGTCTTCAGTCACAGGTATCTAGTTTACAGTCAGCTTTGGCGTCAACTACAGAGCGATTAGTAATTACAGAAACGGCATCTATAAATTTGAAGCGGTATACACGGGAATATAATCAGATTTGGTGGAATCAAAGAAAACGAAAAAGAAGACTGTAGCACATTATAACTAACATTTTAATAGAGAAATTTGGAATGTCTATTGTATTAATTGACAACGCCCATCGTGTTCTAATACGTGACAATAGGAAGGACAAAAGTGTACCACGACATATATTGGTTAAATTTTCCGTACGGCTTCAGCGTAGCGATATCCTGCTTAAGCGATCAGGTGTATTTGTAACTGTAGATCTTTGCAAATTAGACTTGGATGCCAAACGTGCTCTGAAGGACGTTATGAACTCTGCTTATAAGAATGGTAAAAAAGTACGTTTCACAAATTGTAAATTATTTATCGATGGTCATTTACATAATAAGTCGTAGTAATATATAGTAATGTAGATTATTGTATAATGTAATAATATAACATTTATCAGACCTATTACTGCATTATATATCGTTGAGGTACAAGGGAGTCCTTATATAGGTCTAAACTTATTCGTTTTGTTATTTAAAGTGAATATACTATACTGCCAAAAATTTCAACTTCCATTTTAAGTGGAAATAACTAAAATAATCAAAATGAGTCAATTGTATATGTTGGACCTCCTGCACTGTTTTCAAGTAATTTGATAAATGTTTACCAAGCTTTGTCTTTATGGTCATCTACATATGGCTCAAATTATATGAAATAGTTAATATCACTTTCGCTTTTTTTTCTTGAGTCGGTGGATGGTAACGCTGGTCGAATTCAAGTTGTTTTTTTCTAAATCACTTTATCTGATAATCATGTTTTTTGTTATTGTTCCTGTTATCAAAACTGATTTCAGCTATATTGTTAATACTAGTATAATACATTTAAAAAATATGCAAGTTACACATTCTAGAAATTAAAATGGTCAATAGTATATCAGATCGTATAATTCAAAAAAATGATTTGTAATTTTTATTTTTTTTAATACCAAACTATTTTATTCTACTAAAAGCACTATACATTTAAATGTACTTTGACTTTGTATCTACTTTTATGTAGGCCTACACCAAGCTATCTATAACAATCAATTAGAACAGAGAGCTTGCCATGCCGAGCATCTTTCTCGAGCCCTTTTATTTTATCTTGGCATTTTTCCTTTTTTTTTGGTATACATTGCCGTGGTCTTTTGCCTCTTTGTTTTTTGCCCTTTTGTGTTTTGGGGCACTTGTGTGTTTTTTGTGGACATCGTTGTAGATAGCTGCTGTTTTTTGTCGTTGTTTTTCTTGTTCTTTGGAGCCAAAAACCATTACCTGTAATTCACCCGATTGATACGAGATGCATTTTCGTAGACACAATTTAACTATAATTCTTTTAATGTTAAGTCAATTTAATATAAATTCCTTAAATGTATGGGGTATAGGGAACCAAAAGAAAAGAAAGTCTGTCTTTGAATGGGTAAAAAATAACAAATCTCAGATAATTTTTCTGCAGGAAACGCACGCAGTCGAGAAAAACGAGCAGGTTTGGACAGATCAATTGTCTGATCATTGCATATTTTCTCATGGAAAAGAAATGATACACATAGTTGTACAAAGTTAACCCAATGCAGCTATTTGAGAAGATTACTGCTCACAGTATAAGTCATTTTTCTATAATGAACTTAAGATGGTACTGATTCCAATAAGATGAAATGTATACGTAAACACTCAACAATTGAAAACTCCAAAGGATTTCAAAACAACTACTACACCATGGATTTTCTCGTTAAATCCTGATACACATTAGTAGGATTGAATTTCAAAAAATTAAAATTACTTTTCTTTAACTAAAAAAAGTTTTCACAACAATTACGTTTTAACTGAAAAAATAATTACTCCATGTCTCATTATTATGCATGTAAAGTGCACAAATAATGAACTTGGTTATCCTTATACCTTTGTTTATAACATATATAAATTTGAAATCGATCGAGTAAAAATTACTTGAGTTATCGTACCCACAAGTAACAACCAATCAGTAGTTGTCTCTCATTCATTGTGCAAGCAATATGCTCCAACATCGAACTTGACCATTGTTGTGTGTTTGTTTATACCATATAAAGATTTGTAACCGATCTTGTAAGAATTACTTTAGTTATCGCGTCCACAAACGAAAACCAATCAGTAGCCATCTCTCATTAACTATGCAAGCAAAATGCCCAAACATCGAACTTGGCCATCTTTGCATGTTTGTTTATAAAATATACAAATTTGAAACTGACAGTGTAAAAATTACTTGAGTTATGGCACCCACAAGTCACGCCAACAACAACGACGACGCTAAAATCTTCCCTTACTATAACTTCCCCTTCGTTTACACTACACTACATGCAAGGCAAAAATAAAGCTATTTAATTCTTCCGTATAAAGCAGTTTTCACATAAAAATTCTTAATTCGTACAAAATTACAATTTTGTAATTGCTTATTTGAGAAGTACGTGAGAAGTACAGTGTATTTTAATTAAAATTGCCGAGATGATCAGTTCAGAAATGTTTATTCATTCTCCTGTATTGTGACAATTATACGTCTTTCCATGTCTTGTTTATTTTGCAGTCTATATATTAATTTTTAAAAACATATATTATTAACGATCTACATCGACAGACGCACCAGACGCATTTGGTAAATTAAAAAGTTCATGGTTATGTATGTATAATTGCTGAACGAATTGACATTAAATTTGTAATCGTATCAGTTTTTCATACCTATAATTTTATTTTATTAAATTAAAATAAATACACCATGCTTGCAACGTACGCAACGAGTTATTATTAGATGAATGTAGATACGCCGTACTCGTAAGGTGCGAGTTATTGGTAAATAAATATAAATGGGCGTATGAGTTAAAACCACATGTAAATGCATAAACATACGCTATTATTTTAGTAAATATATTTAAAAATTAATAATTAAATCTAAATACATGTATATGACTGTATCACGAGCACCTCTGTTTGTGCGTATCTTAACGTACGTGCAAGTTCAACATGCAAACATCAGATGTGTTATAAAGGATTGACATTATTTAGCCTGACGTTGTACATATTACGTGCCGCATTTGTTGTGTAATTCAACAATTCTATTGTTTTACTAGAATAAATGTGTGAAAGTTGTCTCTTCTAGTCCCCTTCTGTTGACGATTCCACAAACATCTCAAGAATGACCACGTATCATTTTTTTTTACTAAACATAAAAAATAATTGCCAATAATTGAGAATAGTTGATATCGTAACAAAAAGAAAATATTAACAGAGATTAACCCAAGATACCTACATAACATGTACCAAATCAGCGGTTTCGGGAAATAGCAGTTTTGACAAAAATTATCCAAAATATTCACAAAAATACAATATTTATTTAATTTGTACGGATTTTATTTGATTTGTACTTTCACTTCACACTGAAATGTTTGAACAAATATACATAATACAATCATTTTCCTTTATTAGTTCATATTTGCATTATGTAAGGAGTAGGCCAGTTACAATAATATAACACTTTGATACACTTCGATGAATTCAGAAAAAAATGAAAATAAACCAACGACCACAAATACCTTGAAATACAAGATCATAAAAGCATTTGCCAATACTGAAAAAGGTCCACCGCACTAAGATAGTGATTGTCAATAATATCTGCCTGTTACCATAAACGAAGTTTTTGATATTTATATCAAAACCAGGATTGTTAGATGCTGTTTGTTTTTAAATTCACATTTTACAATTAATATTTTTATATTTTAATGTGCTTCAAGAAAATTTAAGAATTTCTTTTTGAAGCATGACAATCATCGATCCATCACGGGAATTGTAAATATAATCGAGCAACCAAGAAAGTAACAAACAACTGGCTGCATCTTGAAGACAACGAACAGCGTCTTGCATGGAATGACAGTTTCTCAATGGTTTCACAGACGTACGCAGAAACATGGGCGTAGAACGAGTTTGTTTTGTCGATAGCACTACAAGTAAAAACTTTTGATTTTAATAAAGTTAACACGAAAATAGCGAGATACTCAAACAGTACAGAATCCGTTGCGCATTGGTCAACATAGTCGCCTTACTGTTTTTGTATATATATTCAGTGGTCTTCCAGTATTATCCTGAAAGCATATAATAATATAAGGTTATTACGAGAATACCTCAAAGTTTGCACGGAGTATCGACCGACGCGCAGCGGCCTACTGTCTGAGTGTCAAACCCTGGTGGCAGCCATGTTTTTTTTTATTATTAGAGGACGCTTTCCTTATTATATCGTAGGATGAAAATACCCCGTAAAATACCGCAAAATTACGGCACGCTGTAACTTATGGCGTTACTGTGACAGATGTATAATAATAACAAATATTTTGACCACGTGAATGCTCTGTTGAGTTTTAATATCTATTATGACGTACTGCCTGGTTGCTCACCATTCCTGTATAATTAGCTTATTAATTAAATTACAAGACTGCGTAACACTGGGTGTTTGTATAACGAGGGGCGTTAAATAAGTAATGCCCCTGACCCACTTCCAGTTTTCTGATATTGATGAAATGATAAATCAGTCTAGATAAATGTGTAATGATTTACATGCTCACTGTCGTCTGGGACCAGGACGGAATAGTGATGACAGATTTTCTGTCAAAGGGTACAACAATTACAGGAGCATTTAACGCTTCACTTTTGATGACATTAAGAGAAGCTATCAAAATCAAGAGGCGGGGCAAGATCAGCAAAGGTATCCTCCTCCTGCGGGACAACGCTCCGGTCCACAACTCGCATGTTGCCAGATCAGAAGCCCGAGCGTGTGCCTATGAAATCCCTCCCCATCCCGTTACTCTCCTGACCTTGCACCCTCTGACTTTCATTTTTCCCAGCCATGAAGTTGTTTTTGAAAGGAAAGCGTTTCCCAGATGATGCAGCCTTTGAATTCTGAAGTTACGACGTGGTTTGAGGACCAACCTGGGGTGTTTTACAAAAAATCTCCAGAGCTGCATCAAACGATGGGAGAAATGAATAACTCTGGATGGTTCCTATGTAGAGAAAGACTAATAACTGTGCCAAGTTTCATTGATCTCCTGCTATGGGAAATGGGTCAGGGACATTACTTAATGAACGCCCCCCGCATGCCATCATGTAGACCTCAGACAGTTATAGACCTTCCCTCATTGCGAAATTTGTATGTACTTTTTATTACTGATCACTGAACTAATTTCCGGTTGTTTGATACATTAGAATTACAGCCAAAATTACATAATTTGCATATTCATATGAACAAATGAAGTAATGTTGAAATTTGTGTAGAATCCTTTCAACAGACTCAAA